TCTGCTACGTGCTGTGAGATAGCCGAGAACGGGAAGGTGATCGAGAAAGGTGAGGTGGTTCTCATCTTTTTTGTTAGGTACCACATAAGACTCTGCAGAAATCATCGTAGACTGATTTGGGTTGAAAGGGGGCTTAAAGATCATCTAGTCCCAACTCCCCTGCCATGGGAAGGGACGCCCCCCACGACCCCAGCCTGCTCAAAGCCCCATCCAGCCGGGCCTTGGATGCTTCCAGGGATGAGGCATCCACAATTTCTCTGGGCAACCTGTTCCAGTGCTTCATCACCCTCATAGTGAAGAAATTCTTCGTAATGCCTAATCTAAATCTACCCTGCCCCAGTTTAAAACCATTTTCCTTTATCCTGTTGCTGCCCACCCTCATAAACAGCCCCTGTTCCAGCTTTCTTGCATTTGCCTTTGCAGGGCTGGCACTGCGGTGCGGTTTTTTCCTTTTTCTGGATGTTTTATCCATGTGGGACTGGCATACAAGGCCTCAGCAGTAGCTGTCAGTGTCTGCTTGCTGATAATGGCTCAGCATTGGTCTTGCAGCTTTGCTGTACTACTAAGTTTTTGTCTAGGATCAGTTACAGTAATACTTAGTCATCAATAATACTGAGTTATCAATACAATAAGCATTTTTTTGAGAAAGTGTTGAAACTTTCTATCTCTTTTTACAGTGTTTTTTGTATATGTCTTGTTTATTTTTTTTTTATAGACTGGCTGCCATTCTTTTAAAAAAAAGGAGATGCTTCTGATTAATCCCTGATGGAGTTTTGATTCAGATTTATTGTTTGAATTGTTGAAGATGTCATCAGGTCTTACAGAGGAACAAAAGAGAAGAATAGAAGAGAACCGCCAGAAGGCTTTGGCCAGGAGAGCAGAGAGACTAGCAGCCCAGAGAGTTGGGCAGGTGGGGATCACTGGACCTCAGGTGAAAGAACAGAGTCCAGGCAATTGGGGAAACTCAAAGGAAGAAAACAATCATGTTGGTTTCATTAGTCAGCACCATCAGAATCCAAACAGTCCTGTGGAGCAGAAGAGCTATCTTCAGAAAGATTATAATCATTACACTGCAAACCAACAGATGGCTGGTTCACATGGAGAGCAGCAAAGGAATTGTTCAGAGGACTCAGCACAAGCAAGTGGCATTAAGCAGTTTCCTACAACAATCCCAAATTCTCTGAGTTGTTCCCATAAACATTACTTGGATGCTGGTGGTCAGGAATGTGGACAACAAGCTTTAATTAATCTTGGTACATTCCAGCAGCCCAAATGCTGCCCAGCTTTCAAAACCCCTGCAGAGCCATCCCATCCTAGATTAATTGATGACGGGCACCCTGACGGTAGTAAAGATTTACCAAATCAGAACAGATCTGCCATAAAATATGTTTCACTGTCCAGCAGGGCTAGCCCGAGTGATTCAGAAACGCTGATAAACGCAAACACACCAACAGAAAGAGAAAGGGGAGGGGTTACCTCCCAGCCCAGTAGTAGGACGCAGAAGCTGACCACCTCTGCTAGTGCAGGCTCTGTCTTTGAAGCTGCCTCTTGCAAGAAAGCAAACAGTGTTACAAATGGAAAATGTGTGAAATACGGGGAGAACCGATTCCAAGTCCAAGTAGGGTATAATGCTGAACTTATTGCTGTGTTTAAGAAGATACCAAGCAAAAGCTATGGTAAGGATTGATCGATTGCTGTTCTCTCTGTTTTGTGTTGGATTGAAGTTTCAGCGTCTGGTGGAACTGTAGTTGCTGTATGTATGCTCTTAGCAGTGCAGCTATTGCTGGTGTGGAATATGTGGTCTTAATGGGGGATTGGAAGAGTAAAGACAGCTGAAATTGGAGAGAAGTTTGGGCATAAATAGCTTGAACTTGGATTGAGCCAAGGCATCAGAAGTCCTGCTTTGTGAACAGTGCTTTGAGAAGTTTAGTGACGGCAGCTGGTCAGTCTCTTCAGGGAGTGAAGAAAGAAGTTCTTCGTAAATTGGGGTGGGAAAATGGGTTACTTCAGCTGTGGTTCAGAGCTGATGAGCTCTGTTGACTGGGTTACTGAGAGCATTTTGTCTTGTTTCTGATCTTTTTTCCTAGCCTTTGTTATATTCTAATTTCGTTTCCCCCCCCATGTATTGCTGCTCCCGGTGAATGGCTGCTGCGTTCTTCTTGTCTTAGTGTTGATGTGCCCTATGGCTTTTGTGGTGACATGTAAGTGTAAACTTGAGCGTACTGTTTTTCAGATGTGTGTCAAAAAGTTTGAGTGGATTGAATCCTCTCTTACCTCACAAGAACATTTCGCAGCAGCACTTTTTTTATACCCCAAATATTTCATTTTCTGCCCTATTTTAGATCCTGTTATAAAAAAATGGAGTTTCGGCCTGGAGGATTACAGCAGTTTCAGTAAGTAAATAGGTGGCTGAATGATAAAAAAGAATCTAAACCTTGACTCTCTTCTCCTATGTTCCATAATTATTATTTAGCTTTGTTATTGTTTGAAGTAATAGAAATGATGCTACTGAAACATAACATCCATCTTTAGGTACCTGGCTCATAACATTTTTCTGACACTTTGTAGTTGATTAGAAATAACTTAATTTTTCACATAATCTAAATACCAAGTGTAAGTTTAGCTTTTTCTGACATTACTGAATTTTCAGCAACCAACAAGCCTGGTCATAAGAAAAATATCTGCTGTGCGGATACTTCATATGAATCTGTATTGAGAACTTGGTATGTTCTGCTGGCTAAGATTTAATTTTTAGGTCCATTCATGTATTTTCTTTTTGAACAGCTCTTTTTTTTTTCCTTTTTTTCTTCACCTTTTTTCCCATTAATTTTGGGTGTCACAAAAGGAAAAAGGATAATTTGCTAGGGCTTTGAGTGAGACTGAAAATGGATTTGCCTTTTTCTGGCATAACAAGGATGGCTTTATCTCTTTTTTTTTTTTTCCCCCCTCTCCTCTCCTGTCATTTTGTTCTGGAAAGATTGAGAGATGATAGAGGCAAACACTTGAGGTAAGCTTTTCAAAAGCACATTGTATTGAAGCTAGTGATAAATCACTATTGATTTCAGTGGGAACAGAATTAGGCCTGTGTTGAGCACTTTGAAAAACCCACAGTTGAGTGCTGGTATTTTAGCTTCCCATGTGGGTTGCCACACATTTATAATTTAAATGCTGCTGGTTTGCTTGAAGTGTATCAAATACAGATGAGAGCCGAGTCTCTGCACCAAGGAGCTTGCAAATGAAGAGGATGATTTTTAGAAATAAAGCTTTTCTCCTTAGACCTAGCAAAGATAGGAGTTTTCTGTGGACAAGTGAAGACAATATGTGATCAACATTGAGCAATGATATCAGGAGAAAGGAAGCTTAAAAGGGGTTTAAAAGGGCCTTAGTTGAAGTCTTTTAAGTGTAAAGACAATGATTTTAAAACTTTCAACTGTTACTTTTGTTCTTCTGAATGGTGTTTTCCTATAATACATTTCTTTGTACTATAAATTAAACATGCAATCAGGTCTAGAAACAGATGTTGAAATAAGAGGGAAATGGTTTGGTTTTTTCCACCCGTTTCCTTTGGTATTAGTTGTAGAGGTGAGATCTAACTGCAATGGTGGCATCTAAAATCTTTTGCTTGGTGCATTGGAGGGAAGAAGTTTAAAGTGGTGGTTTCCCAAACCTCTACTATAAGAGCATCACGTGAAAATAATTTTTAAACTTTTTCTTTGGCCTAGAAATCATGAATGCTTGTGTTGATTCTGAAAGTCACTTATTTTAAAATAAAGTTGGATGAAATTGAAATGTTTTTTTTATTAACTAGTTGGGAAGAAAATGATGGAATCTCTCTCTCTGCCCTCCTCTCCTCTGCCCAGTTGTAAACACTGAACTTAAATTTTGTTGTGTATTGGTAAGCTGGACTATTTAAAAAGAAGCAGCATGGATCATGATGTGGACTACAACACTGACAGGGACTGCATTCACCTGGATTTACTCTAAACAGCTGCAGGATAGAGATTGCCTCTTTGTACAAATACATGTAGGCAAAATATGCTTAGTGGTCCCTTGCTCTTCAATCTGATGGACTTTGGAGATATTCATGAATATTTGTGTTACTGTGGGACCTATGAGTCAGAGACTTTTGTGCTGTAGTGCTGTGGAAATGCAAGAAAAATGTTTCTTTAACCATCACGGTTTGGCTGTAATAATAAAGGCAACGTACAGATACAGATTGGCAGAGAGACCTGTGGAGAAGTGCAATGTTTCTTCAGGCTACCAGACGTAAAATGCTGCGTGCCTTATCTCCCTGTGGCCTGGCATGGTGACAGAGGTGGTTGCTAGTGATTCGTAAGGTAGGAGTGCAGATGGCTGTGGGGAGGTACAAGGCTAGCTGTAAGACACAGTAGAATAAAAGGTGATGAACTTAAATTCTAACAAATGATATTTAGACGTTTGGACTAGAGTCCTTCCTGATAGCCATCCTACAGTATTGTGAATATACAGCATTCCTCCTAGGTGGGATTGCCTATCAGACATTGACAGGAGGCAGGAGGCAGGTATTTTTAGATCGATCTCTTCTGCCATTTGCGGAAGCACCTTCCCATCTTTTCGGGCACATGCTGTTGATCGCTGTGCCCCTGTCCCTGCAGCTTTGTAAGTGAAAGCACACTGTGTCTGTGTGCAATTCGCTGCTGAATGGGGTTCTGCAGATTGCTTGCCCTGGACTAGTGAGCCACATTTTGGGATTGCTGACAGAGTGGGAGCCTAATGAAAATGCTGGACAGTCCCTTGTTCACGTACTGTCACACTCCTTCTGCCCCTGCTGTATTATTCTCTGTGGAAAATCTCACCAAGCAGCTTCTCGAAGCCATCTCTCTCAATTCTTTGTCCCTGTGAGTGAAAGCAGAGAATCATCATTCCTTTTAAACTTGAAGATGCACAGTTTGTTTGTCATCCTTTTGCCCCTTTTCTTCCCAAAGCATCCTGTGCATATTTAGTTTCTCTGTTCTTTGTTACTCTTTTCTCTGTATCTCATGTTTTTCTCCCTAGTGGAAGCAGCAAATAAGCTTTCATCGGTAATTCTCGAACCACTGGAAGGAGAAGATGCAGCTGGCTTGGCATCAGGCTCTCATTTTGTTGGCAGTAGGGGCGATGTGAAATCCCTCCTGAAGATATGTGACAACTGGAAGAAACCCTCGGCCCTTGTCAAAGGGAAGTGTGTGCTGATCTCTCGCTTGCGGTTTGAGGTTGATATCAGTTATTCTGCAGAAGTGATTGGAGTGTTCAAACAGATGGATTCCAGAACTTATGGTGAGTCTCTGGTTGTTCGTGCTTTATTCTAATGGTGTTGTTGAGGCTGCTCTTGGGAGTGCTGCAAATGCTTCAGAGAGGTAGTGTGAGAGTAGATCCCTCTAAAGACCATGAGAGGATGTGCTCTGGTGAGAACGTTGAGAGCTCCTGCAGTTCTGAATCAGGGCTATACCTGTGTCCTGTGCTTCACTTCGTGCCAGAACATGTCTTTTTCTGGACCTGTTAGCCAAAGTGATATTTTAGGACTCGACATGATTACATTTGCTGTTAAGAAGGGATGTGCTGATAATTTGCCGGCAGTACGGAGACCATACAGAAGTTCTTGTCTTATCAAACGTGGCTGGACATTCTCATATTTCTGTTTTACTGTAGTGTATAAATGGCTGCAACTGCCTGCGCAGATTGAGTTTACCAGCAGCTTTACCCATATTTTTGAGGCAGTTGAAACCATAGAGCAGTTTTTACGTTGGCATTCAGATTTCAATGGTAAGTGTCTGAAGTCAGAGTTTATTGGCCAACAAATGGGAACCTTCACACACACATTCTTCATCCCTTGTAGTGAAGAGGAAATGGTTGCCCAAACCCTTGGGCAGGTGGGTTTGTTACAGTGGTTCATCAGGGCAGCTGGCCTTGGCTTGCTCTGGTGATACCACCACTTCTAGATGTGTGCTCATATTTTTAAGTTGTCTTCAAACTGTTTGCTTAACATGAGAACTAAGAGGAGAATTGACTGCTGGACAAGGCAAGAATTCTTTTAAAGCAGTTCTGAAGTGCAGAGGTTATGGATGCATAGCCATGTTCTTGCAGACAGAGAATTCTATCTTTTAAGAAAGAGACTTATGACAGTGTTTAACTATTGCAGATATGAATACCAGAAAGTGGAATTTCCTGCTGGAGGACTATCCCAAACTAAGTGAGTACCTGCGTTTTCTTGACTAGAGCTATTTTCTGAGGAGGCAAATGAATTCTAACTTCATTTCTTGGGCTAAGCCTTCTCATCGTTTTCTTCTCTGGGGAGGCAAGTTTCTAACGAACCAAGAAGCAGGTGTCTTCCTGTTTTGTCAGACATTTACACTGGTTGCCCAGACTCAAAACTTTATATTATAATGTCTGTTATTCATGGTGCTGCTTTTGGGCCCTATTGCAAGGGTGGCTTGGTTTTGTCAGATTCTGCACTGAATTTCTGTGCCATTTCTTAGAGCATGTGGCTGTATTTACTATCGTAAAGTTATTTTTATTGCTTACAATGTAAAACAGCTCTCCTTGAACTAAAGAATTGCAGGAGAATGGATTCCTCTGATCCTGCTTGCCAAATTTGAAGAAGTCTGTATGGTGGCTGCCAAGTCTTCCTTGTCCTTACAGAATTTCTGTCTTACTCTTTCTAGCTGTGCTCCCCCCATCTTCAGTGCCCGCCCACCGTACTCCCATTTGTGTGTGTATCAGTTCATGCACTGGCACAGCCACGCTTAGAAAACGAACGTGTATCAGACTGGCTTACTTCCAGTTCATTAAGTAGCGTGCACGTGTTGTGCTGTTTGATTTCACACCCAGCAAATTTTGTTTTTCACGTCAGAGTGCTAGGTTCTCAAGTCAGCTGATGATTTCTGTAACAACCAGTCCATCCACAGTTACAATCTGAGTGCTGTCTAGCTGTTTCTGTTCAGCTTCATATGCTGCTGTTGGTAATAATGGCTTTGCAGGCAGCACACAGTTGCTCAGTTTTTAACTGGTGTACGAGGCAGGTTAGGATTCGAGTCGCTTCCATAGCCGAATTGATTTTGAGGCAAACAAGAAGAGCTGCTTGTTTGTCTTGCAGAAGTGTGCAGGTTTGCTTGGAGAGGCATTCTTCCTGAAACAGAATTTCATACTCTGCTAAAATGCTTTGTTGCTGGTTAGTGAATGTTTAAAAGAAAGCTTAGCAAAAAAAGTCTTTTTAAGATAACATCATATTTTTCCTCGCAAGTGGGATCTAAGCATATAGTGCTGCTGCAATGTTCATTTCTTGCTAGAAGTTGACCAGTGGACTCCTGCCTTTCTGCATCTGTGCAGTGCCAGTGAAACCACATCTCAGTTCAATGAGTCGATTTGTTGTGTTTTGTTTTTTGGGATTTTTATTAGAAAAAAAATGGATGCTACTTTGCAGAATAATACAGTCTCAGCAGCATGCTCCTGGCACATCTACTTCTTAGTTTTTTATGTTTAGTTAAGTTTTTAGAGTGCTTTGAAATGAATAGCATTATGCAAGTTGTAAGTATTATAATTATTACTTATCATCCCAGTCAACCTGCTGTGTTTGCCTTGGTACTTGTGTGAGGGTGTGTGGTTATGGAATTTGACTGGGGTAAGCTTCAAAAAGAAAATAAGCAAGGTGCTCTACACACATCCTTAGCAAGTGTGACTGACTGTTTGAGAGCCAAAGTGCTGTTGTTCAGCGTAGTTTTTTTGCAGCACAGACTCCTGCCTCCATGGGATACTGAAGCATGTTTAATAATTGAGTATCTTCATGCTCCTATGATGCATGTCTTAATAACGTTAGTAATGGTTATAGGCCTTAAAATCACATGGTGGGGCCTTGTAGGAATGTTTGAAATAACTGAGTGTGTCTTGGTGGAGACTATTATGAAGCTCTGGGGCTGGGGTGTTGACACGCCTGGATTTCAGGAAGAGCTGATGCTGTCTCTCTCTGCTGAAATGGCCTTTGGTACATGCAAAGGGCCCGGTCCTGTAGCACATGCTGGGCAGTCTCAGCCAAGGTATCATCTCCCAGCCTGTCACTCTCGGCTGAACTGGCTTGCTGGCAGGCGTGTACATCACGCGAAGTATTCAGAATCTCACAGATTCAAAGAAACTAAAAAAAAAAACAAACACCAAACCGTAACTCTTCTTACAGGGTATAATTTGTGAGGGCATTTGAGGCTTCTAGCCACGTGCCTTTTTGAGGAACAGCATTTGCTTTGTGCCTGTTCATTTACCTGTGTCAAAATAAAAAAAAAAGAATTAAAAGCATGGTTGCCATTTCCAGCAGAGATATCTGTTAGCTGGAAACTGTTTGTATAGGTTAATGTCTCTTTGCCTAGTTGCTCAGTCATCTTTATATAAAGGTCACTTCAGTAAAAAATGTCTGTTGGATGAATCATGCTGGTGGCAGATACATCTTAATCACTCTCCCAGCTCATGTACAGAACAATAGCAACAGAATTATCAGTGAGCAAATTGTAGCAATTATGCTAACACATACCTCAGTCTGTGAGTGTAATAACAAGCTTATGCTGTACTTCGAGTGGAGAGAGTTCCTGCTATTGAAGAAGTATAAATTAAACTGGAGAGTTTAAAAAGTTTGGTCTTTGCCCAACCACAAATGGAAATCTTTTCGTATGTATATTTCTTGGAATTGCTTTCCCCCTTTGTATGGCAGAGGTCCATCCTGCTGCTTTCCTCTCAGAGAGATAACTGAAATAAAAATACCTAACTGAATTCTGGAGGTGCACTTACTGCTTTTATAGTGAGTTCTTATTTCAGTTATTTTTACAGAGTTGTTTTATGCCTTCCTGACTTCATATAGAAACCAACCACTAAATAAAAAATTAGTTGCTCCCTGCAGTAAAAGATCTGTGCACATGCACTTGTGTTTCTAGTTTAGAGGTGTCTTTTCTCAGTCAGTAGTCAAAGATTGATTATTAAACATGTTTTCCTGGTCCTAGCTCACTGCATGTTTTAAACTGGACTTTGTTTTCATAGAAATTTGCTATTGGATTGAAAAGAAATACTTTTATCCTTTTGGGATGGGGCAGAGAGGCTGCTGGAGGGGAAAGGTTGTCTAGGAGAATTACCCTGACATGTTGCTTGTTGTGATGTGCAGGTTGAAGAGATGAAGGCCCCAAGGTCATTGCGTAATGGAGGCTGGGGGCTCCTTTAGTTCCACTGGGAAGGTTTTATGCTGCAGATAAAGTTGAGAGGCTTCACGAGTGCAACAACACTAGTGACGAGGGCCTCAAGCGGCTGCCTGTGAGCCGGCCTGCGAGCTATTTCTGTCCAGGAGAACGTGGGTGGACGTCAGCTGAGCAGGGAGCTGCTGTTGGTACCGTGCCCCTGAAGGACAGCTGTCAGTGCTGCTGGTGGTGGCAAAAGAGCAGTTTCTCTGAGTCTTGAGGTGTTTCCTGTTTTCTTATCCAGACATGATAAATGAGGGGTGATAAAGTGGAGACAGAGCCCAACCTGTATCAGTTTGGGACACAGGAGGAAGAAAGAGTTTTCAAAGCTAAGGATGTATGATATTCCTTAGGTAATTGTAGCTAAGGTCACTCCTGTTCACTTGGGAATGACGGAGACCTCAAAGGTGTTTAATACAGAATCCCAAGGTCAAGATAAAGACGACCCTGCCTTCTAGGTTTTGGGAGCTCTTTTGTTCAAATCCGTGTTTTTATTTCTGAGTAAAGTGTGCCCTAAGCTGCCCTCAGTCTGAACAATCCAGCTCCAGCTGTGTTAGTAGCAATCATCTCTGAATGATGGCATCAGACTTCTGTTTTTAACCAAGTCTACGTATGAGGGGAGGAGATGAGATTCATTATGTGGTTCTGAAACAGACTTCAGGGAAGAGGCCAGTCCAACACCTGCACATGATCCAGTACATTCTTGAGCTGTATCAGGATAGAAAATAATATTGATGAAGTCAAGGGTTATGCTTTGACATATGTTATGTAAGCTGTGTGCATGTTGCCCCTTCTGATGATAAACTGCTCTGTTCTTTGCAGTGGAAGTGTTACAGAGCCTCGTGGCAGTAGAAGTGGAGCCACTGCCCAAGGCAGTAATACAAACCTTTGCTGCTCAGATGTGGAGATCGACATCACAGACAGACGTTCCTGATGCTGACCTTTCAGCAGTGGACTCCAAAATTGTAACGAGCCTCATGCCCTTTCAGCGGGAAGGTGTGAAGTATGTCCATTTTGCGTGCTGTTAAGAGTGATTGCTAGTGATTGCCTAGAATTGTGTGCTTTGCATTGGTACCCAAGCTGCATTCTCTTCCGTGGGGGGCTCTGCATTTCCTCAGAGTCCTGGCCTGTTACTCTGGCGTTCTGGGCTCTTGGTTGTTTGATATGGTATGATTTGTTTTGTTGGTTGGTGGAGTTGTTGTTTGGGTTTTTTTGTGGATTTTTTTGACTGACACATCTATTCTGTTTCTAGCTAGAATTCTTCATCATGAGTCAGGACGAAAGTAGTGTTTTGCTAGTTTTGTAAAATTGTTCAAATGTTACCTCTCTGATCTCTCTCTTGTGATTCAGTGTGTGCCTAATTGTCATATGATTTTTCTATTTTGTAAGGCCATCTTATTTTTTTTCCCCCAAATGCTCTTTTGTTTTTTAAATATTAACTACATATGGGAAAGTGCTGAGAAATAGGATCCAGGCCCTGAAAGATTTGAAATGACTGATTGTATGTAGAGATAAACTTTTAAAAGTCTCTGTCCCAATCATATATGGTCATTAGTTGTTGACTTCAAGGTACAATCCAGGAAAGCCTGTACTTAAAGTGGCATTGCTATTAGTAAGGTTTCCTTATCTCAGCCAGGATAAACTCAGGGACAGAATGGAAAGAATGTGCTTTAAGTAATTGTAAGGTCTTGAGATTACTCCTCATATGAAATAAAAGTCTCAAAGAACTGGGCTGAACTGCTCTGTCAGGAGCTTCCAAGCTTTGGGAGAGTTGTGAGAGTTACTCACTTGTGTTTAAGGCTAAGGGGAAAAATCCAGGTTTACTGAAGAACGCAGATCACTTCCAGGTGATCCACATTTATAGACTTGGTGATGAATTGTGCTCATCTTGGCTGGCAGGAGAGATAGTAACCCATTTCTTGACTCATTTCCACTCTCTGTTTTCCACAGTTACGCAATTTTAAGGGATGGACGTTTACTTCTTGCGGACGACATGGGCTTGGGCAAGACCATCCAGGCGATCTGCATTGCTGCCTATTACCGAAAGGAGTGGCCCTTGCTGGTGGTGACTCCTTCTTCCGTGAGGTTCACGTGGGCAGAGGTACTGTGTGTTTGAGCATGTGCAGATGGCTGGTAGAATGCAGGTGTGATGGTTATGTTGTGCTGCACTCTGTACAAGTTAAAACATTAAAAGAGATGGATATTAAGGGGAAAACAAATGAAAATTGTACTTATTTAGAAACTTGGAGGAGGGGAGGGAATTGCTTGGCATTGACTGTATGGTATATGCCTATTTTCTTTTATTGTCCAGTTTTCTTTTGTGTGGTCCAGCTGATCTGTTGGAAAAAGGGAAATCTAGAGAAAGTCTCTCCTCTGATCCTCTGTTAACTTTGTTCCTGCAAGTCAGCTGGCTCCAAAGGGATGTTTTATTCATCAGTGTCAAAGGCAATAATAGCATTCAAGCAATTTTCTATTGTATTCAAGCCCTTCATAGCAGTATTTGCCAGTCTCTTGGCTGGAATAGAAGCCCAGATGCTGAGGTTCTCTGCTCTGTTCAAGAGGCCCCTTTATTATCAAGTGTCTTTCAAAATATGTTTTTTGACCTGTCCACTGTATGCTGCTGGTTCTGCTAAGTCTTTTGTTAATGTTGATCAGAAGCCTAAGAAAGCTTGTATGGCTGGGAAATGTTTCTTGAAATAAAACACTGTGTGTGGCTTGTACATCGAGGCTGTTGGGTTTCCATAGGCTTATGAAATGTTCACTCTGCAAGAAAAAGGTGAAGTAGAGGTTTTAGGTCAGTAATTTCATGTCTGAGTGGGAGGGGGTGAGAGTTTAGTTTCCCCTGGAATGCTGCATGTCCAGTGGTGCAACAAAATGTTGATTGACAAGAAAAGAAAATTTACTGAACAAGGGAGTGATGCTCATCATGTCAGGGGCCAGGAGCAAAAATGTCCCCCCTACAATCCAGAAGGAGGCAGTCAGTGACCTGCTCGGTGTGCGCAAACCTATGGGGCCGGATGGGGCTCTTCCTAGAGTGCTGAGAGAACTGTCAGGGGTGCTCACCAAGCCACTATCCATCACTTATCAGCAGTCTTGGCTGACTGGGGAGGTCCCAGCTGATTAGAAGTCAGCCAGTATAACACCCTTCTTATAAGAAGGGATGGAGGGATGATCCGGGAAGTTACAGGCCTGTCAGTTTGTCTTCAGTGCCAGGGATGCTGATGGAGCAGATCATGCTGAGTTCCATTGTGCAGCACATGCAGGACAGCCAGGTGATCAGGCCCAGTCAGCACAGGTTTGTTAAACAGGACCTGCCCTTGATAAACCTGATCTCCTTCTGTGACAGGGTGACCTGCTTGTTGGATGAAGGAAAGGCTGTGGATGTTTCCTACCTTGACTTTAGTGAGGCATTTGATGGTGTTGCCCACAGCATTCTCCTGGAGAAACTGACTGCTCTTGGCTTGGATGGGCATACGCTTTGCTGGGTAAAAAGCTGGTTAGATGGCCAAGTGCAAAGAGTTGTGATCAACTGAGTTAAGTCCAGGTGGTGGCTGGTCGCAAGTGGTGTCCCCCAGG